GTGAAGCAGCGAGCTAGCGAGGGAGAAGCCGAGTGCAGCGGAGCAGCAAAGTGGCTGCACTTGATGCCACACTCAAGAGCATAAAAGCAGGGAGAGCAAGCCCAGGCTCTATGTCAACTGTTGGTCCCACATCAATGAGAACAACGCCAACCTACCAACAACGTCACGGCAAGACCCTTGAGCTTTATCTTTAAATGGCAAGGATTATTTTAAGTATTTGCACGCAAAAAAAGTGGAGAATAAACAGCATATCTTCTCGCTCGCGATAGTGATAAAAAAGAACTGCTTTTTCTATAATCTTGATGTCGACGTACTGCTCAAATAACAGATAAAGCCTCCTAATTTTTGCATGTAGAAGCATCGGTAAAATTTATGAATTAATGAAGAATTGAGTAATACTGATATTCAATGATGATAAAATACAATGTTATGGACTACTTCAATACAAATGCCATTTACCTCGACCACAAGGCCAACGTTAATTAAACATGCAAGGGCATAACCACAAAAATCCACTTAAATACACAATGAAACCTAACGCTTAATTAAAGACTCATTATTGTTTTCTCATTTATATGCGATAAGCAGATTTTTCAGGAATCGTCCAACACAATTCTTATTGAAACAAATAAAAGTTGAGACACAAGTCAACATAACCCGTGTTTGATCCTAGTATATTTCATTGATGATGGACGTCAGGAGAAAATAACTCTTAAATGAGGAAGAAATATGTACATTGTAAGAGACAATTGCAAAAGATTCATTGCATTTGCATGAAGACGCAAGAACATTGCTTTGCGAAATTAGAGTTTAATATTTTACGTTCATACAATGTTGCAAGTTGCCTGACTTCCCGTGACCTAACTCATCATCCAGAAACTTGCATAAAGAAGCCCCAAAACACCAAATATTACCAACTATTGATTTCAGTTGACACGTACAATATACATTTTGAATTTAAATGAAATGAGTCACTTCTTAACTGAAATTTATATTACACTGAATTTCGTGGAGTCGCACAAAAGTGTAAATTAAATTCATGGAAAGTGTTTGCCTCTACTCCATTCGTGGAAAGTGTTTGCCTCTACTCCATTCGTGGAAAGTGTTTGCCTCTACTCCATGCCGTCTCTTCCAGCACGAGGCCTCAGCACACCCACGCGATTGGAAGCCCGTATATTCCCATGGTGTTCCGCATCCATCAGTGCCCGAGCCTCATCAAGACGGAGCTGCTTTCAATCCCCGAGTTTGAAAGAAACATATTGAGCATATAATAGTATTTTTCTTAGCAGAAGGTCCCATCCATCTAAACTTCCTTGCATAAGGCACTGGAGCTCTAACGCCGTTTCCTGCCACGTACAGCACAACGGATCAACTGCAGGTGCTGAGTTTGCGGTTTTTATTTTTATTGTAGTTTTATTGTTACCGGTACTTATAAGTTATAGTCATAACGTGCTTTGCTTGCCAGAATAATTCAGTGAAATAAATTAAAAATTAAAACAACAGATCTAAATATGTTTAACGTGCAACAAACCATCTCTATTAATCTTCATACACAACACATTAGAAATGAAACTCGTATAATTGTAAAATTGGACTTTTATGTCGCTAAAGCTCAGATTTACAAAACTTTCATCGAGATATAAATGAAGGAGATTTGTATATTTTATTCTTATGTTTCTTCCATTAGTTCCATACTTTCAACTTGCACTCCCATTTCCATACTTCTCTTTATAATAATAAAGGATCGCATCGCATATCAATCACATTCTATCAGCGCACATTATTTACAGCCATCAAAGTTTCGTCCACTGCACGTTTGACCAGTGACCTGTCACTACTTGCCGCCAATGACACACGAGTGTCATCAGAACTACCATTTATAGGATTCGATTCCATATAGTTACTACGAAGCCGTTTCGATTACGATTGAAAGTTGTGGTTCAGTTTTGTTCATGAAATAAATCGTATCTATTGAAGACCGGCGCAGTACAGTGGCGAACTGAGTGGCATTGACGTTGGCATTTACATTTCTAAAAGGCGATTCTTTAAATAGCCTTTTTCCTTTTCCTTGCTCGAGTCAAAATTTTTAGCCTAATTATACTTAAAAATTCACATTTTTGCATTTAAATTAGACGGTTTCATTGAACTCCTCTATTTAGCTTCAACGTTGAGGAGTCTCATCGGTTTTTCCTAATATAATATGAATTACTTTATTTTACTTTCACGTTCTGGATTTCGTGAGCGAGATCCCATAGAGATTATCCATAGTGTCGTTCGCACCGAGTCAGCCTGTGAGCAGCAACAACGGCCTGCACTTCGCTGCAAGTAAAATGCTGCAGGCATTAATTGCGGCGTCGCGGAAGCAAATCAACGAAGTTTTTCGGAGAGCCCCGCCTTGGCAGCCACCTGACTGCGTGCTAATTTCCGTACAACTCACAAGACGCTGAGCAAGACATAACATTTGCATACGAAGATGACATAGAAGCAGCACGTCGCTCGTTGATGGAGAACGTGCGCTCGTGACTGGCGATGTGTCGTGCGTGTCGTGACAGGTGATGTGTCTTGCGTGTGCTGTGTGTTGTGATGTGTTGTGCGTGTGCCGTGAGAGGTGATGTGTCTTGCGTGTGTTGTGATGTGTTGTGCGTGTGTCGTGAGAGGTGATGTGTTGTGCGTGTGCCGTGAGAGGTGATGTGTCGTGCGTGTGTCGTGAGAGGTGATGTGTTGTGCGTGTGCCGTGAGAGGTGATGTATCGTGCGTGTGCCGTGAGAGGTGATGTGCCGTGAGAGGTGGTGTAGATTTGTCGTGTCTGTCACGAGTTCATAATTGATCATAGATTATTGCCCAAAACAAAACGTGACAAATGGTGTTCATTTATGAACGGAAAAATTATACCTTTCAAATTTGGCCTTAAAAACTTTATGACCGTAGCAATTTTTGTTAATTAATTGTTATCAATAGCGAGCTGACCCTCATACGTGATATGTTGCTTTAGGTCGGAAAATCATGTCGACCTTTTTTAATTGTGGCTGTTTTTAATAAATTGCAATTGCCCCTCTCTATACTGTTGGAGTTATTGAGACAACAACAGTGTGGCGACAATTCTCTTTGAATGACATAAGTGGCGGGGCCAGACACTGACTTGCTACAGCATACCGATCATGATACAGGACAACGAAGAGGACTGTAGCGAGTCAGGGTCCGGGGTAGCAGTGATACAGGGCAACGAAGAGGACTGTAGCGAGTCAGGGTCCGTGGTAGCAGCGATACAGGACTACGATTTGAGAGCAATGCGCCGCCGCGCTATGTCGCGCTCCCCTCACACAATCACGCTGTTTTTCTCCTTCAAAGACAGCAACAAATGGAGGCGGGAAGTGGGTAAATAAAAATTCCAGACATAGCAAGAGGGATGTGTTACTTCAATAGATTCATGTTTATGTTTGTGTTTTTATACTGCACGACTTTCTCTTTTTCCCAGAGAACCATTCAAAGGCCCACTTCTAATTTTGCGTTGGGTTTCGGTTCTGCCTCGATGACCTTTTCCGCATCTTGTTTCCTAAAAGCCTCGATACAATATAATTTTCTGCCAAAAACATTTCATTCACGTGCAAAATTTGATCACTGGCAACAATAGTGGCAGAGCAGTAATATCTATACTTATCTTCTTGGCCTACAGTGCTGACCTCATAATAAACTAATTTTTTGTTATGAACACACATGTGTTAGAAGTAATATTAGGTTATGTAACTTGCTTTATGCTCATTCAGGACCTATCATTTCGACTCGACATCAAGAAACGACTACCAGCAGCTATCTACATCTCACTAAGTCATAATAATCGCGATTCGCGTTCAATTCTTTTCCGTTGTTGTTCATTTTGGTTGCATCATTTATTTGTCACGAGAGCAAGTTCACAAATGAGTGCAGCAAACTATTTTATTTTGTGCCTTTATTCAAATTTTAATGACGTCGTTTTACTTGTTTTCAACTTCGCGATTGGTCAAACTTGAACACCGCAGGCTTGCTGAATAGAAAAAAAAAATTCTCTACCGTATTTCGAATAACTTCGAACAAACGAAGCGTGCTAGTAAACAGCTGCTAGCTAACCATGCCTGATCTTTTTTGAACACAACCAAAATGCAATAAACTCACGTTCTGTTTAAAATTTCTAAATGTTATGCATATTCTTTTGGACAGATGAACACGAAAGACATTAATGTTCCAAGCATAATAGCGTATTACTTGTTGAATATACATGCAGTTCTGCTGATGCTAGAGAGTTCAAGCCGCTAGCAACCCATAGCCCCATCGTATTCATCAGGTATATTCCTTTCGGGAATAGGATAAAATAGCTAAAATAGCGCTTTTTATAATTGAATGCAAATTTTCTATAGTCCCTAAACTCTCATAGCTCACTATTTTAGGCCCAAAAGATTTACACCTACATGCGATTTACAGATAAGACTCACTAGAACCTATCCGCTACGCTAGTAGCAGAGGAACTTAAGTGTTCCTCGATCTTCATAGCTAGAATTAAAATCTAGATACACCAAATCGGTAATCGATTGCAATGCGTATTCACCAATACAGAAATGCTTAGTTGAATTCAAGATTACATGTCGATGCCTCCAATCGTTGCAAACATCAGTTTTCACTAGACATTTTAGTGAGCTGTGTAGTATGTATCTGTAACATACAAAAAAATGAACAAAATGCAACTGCAAAAAAATATTTTTGCAGATGAACTGCAAAAAAATAGATAAGAAAAAAAATTAACTACAAGCTATCAAGTGCTAAATAAACTACAATTCATCGAATTTCAGTACGTAGTTTACACGAATGTCTGCTTTAAACCAAGAAGAGTTCTACCGAGAATTTCAGTTAAATCTAAGCCACGATTATTTTTATATAAATATTCATCATGTTAATATAGGTACGTTTATCTGGAGTAAATCGTGCAACCATATACACATAACATCAAAATAGGAAAATCATACACAATATACACACTAGGTAATAATTTACTCTTCACCAAGACTTGGTTATGTACAGCGCATTAGGAATGAAGCTTACCGCATTGGTCGGTAATGCTTTGAAAAATTCTGATTCTGAAATAATCTGACATTTGGATTATGTGTGAAGTAACAATACCCCTATTAAATTATGGGATGCTAATAATAAGAGACATGTTAAGACTGACTCCATAAATCTTCATTTGTAGGCTTGTCTGTAGAAGAATTCTCCCACCATGGCGAGACCGACGATGTTCATGGTGATGGTTAAGCCATAAAGGAAATAATCCTTATAGCCTCCTTTAAGATGAACAGGCACGCCATCATTCACCTGAAAACACGAAACATCCAAACTAGTGAATAAAGTTTTCCTGATATATGCCTAGTACCTCAATACAACCTCTTGCTCGCATATTAACATGCACATTAACCTGAATATTTGGAGCTTAAGTGGATTATTACATAATACTGTTCCATAAAATTGTGGACTTGATCATATCCAAAGACATTCATTTAATGAGCAACTGAATGATGACAATGGATGAGGAGCATTGCTGCAAGCAGGAGCTGCCAGCATATGGCAGTCTGTCATGCCCTCATGATGACAATTGTTCAGAAAATTGCAACCATTTTATGGGTTAGCTGTTTTTAACAGTAAGTAACAGAATTAAGTTTATTACTTAAATCAGTGAACATTGTTTTATCAAATAACTACCTCTACGATCAAAGTAAGAAATTATGAAAACCGAAATATAAACCCCCCATACATTGCTAAATGAAGTAAAATTTACAATTTACAAAACGAGTAAAAATGTGAAAAAAAAAACTAAATTTTCATTTATAAATATAGTTTTTTCAGTTTAGAGAGATCCTCTGTACTGCCTTGGTGACATATGGTGGCAGGCAGTTTGCTGACAATCAGCAGTAGGCCATGTACAGAATACAGTTTTGTACAGGTATATACGTTAACAATTCATATTTGATTTAATATCTTTAATTCAGATAGAACTCAATATGCAAGGCCATTTGATGATGATGCAGTACAAAATAGGTTTCTCTTCTAAAATGGAATTCTTATAGATTTTTTGTATCAAAACATTCAAGCATAACTTCTAATTCAATTAAAAAAAATTAAAATATATGCTTCTTTTTCTCAGCACAAAACAATGAAGCATTTTTGTACCCTGACTGATAGAAAACTAACCTGATATTTGGCATAATTCTGCCTGACTTTGAGGTAGACAGGATGCAGCTCCAACTTCTTCTGGGCCTGAGCACGAGTGTTGGTGCTCAGCTGGCGCGTCAAAGTCTGCAATATTTGGTGCCACTTAGCATTGCATTAAGATACAATAGGAAGTAAAGAAATTGAGGGAAATGAAGAAATGAAGTAAATATTAACGTGCCACTTAGCATTGCATTAAGATACAATGGGAAGCAAAGGAATTAAGGGAAATGGAGTAAATATTAACGTGCCACTTAGCATTGCATTAAGATACAATGAGAAGTAAAGAAAATGAAGCAAATATTAACAACTCTAAATAGATAGCATGGAATTGGAATATTGAGACAATAAAAACTGTAAAAGAATTGTAAAAAAACTAGGATTCTGAATAAGCCAGCTGACATTTACAGGGAAATTTATAAATTTGATTGGAGAATTGTCTGAGAAATTTGGTAATTGCTTTGCTTCAAATAAAAATTTGTGAGCAATTAGGTGTCTCCAGTTCTTAAATTGAAATTACATGTGAAAAAACTATTCTGGAGACATCTACATAAATCAATTTTGATGAATATATTTTTGGTACACACAGAAGTTTTTAAATATTTTTAAATGCAAGTGAAATGGGAGTCCTATCCTAAGTGAAATGTGGGCTTGCAGTGGTCTTCATCCAATTTGAAAATATAAGCTTTATCATTATTAAACAGATTAGGGATTCAAGAAATTAGATGATTTAGGAAAACAGGATTTCATAGATGCAGGAATTACAAAGTCTGGCCAATGCTGGGGCAATCTGTCAGTATTACCATCAAACGGGGTACCCCATTCAAGGGACCATTTTGAGCGTTTTTTGTTAAGAACTTCTTACCATGAAACCTTTCATAAACGAGTTTGAGCTCATTTTAAATGCCTTTGCAAGGAGTATCATATGGCATCTCTGGCAAAAATTTTATATGCTATTTGTAAGGTACCAGACACAAAATAAAAGCATCTCTAATTACCCCTGGGAATGGAATAATCCGGGAAACATGAAATAAAATGTTTGAAGCATGCAGGGTGTACTCCTCTATTAATAACAGTACTCTGAAGTCCTCCTCTTCCTTTGTAGATGATGTAGATGCAGAATAAATGATTTTTTCTGTGCTTTTTACTTGTTTTTCCTTTATTGATATATTACCATATCCAAACATTACTGTAGGTATCATTGATGTGATATTACCATATCCATGGACATGCCATTGAGCAATGACAATGACCTTGTCCACTGTAAGCTTCATATCAGCAGCCATATAGCATTTCTTCTGTATCTGTAAGCTTGCAGGAAGGCTTCTAATTTCACACCATTTTAATTGTGTCAAGTGAATTCACTATAACAAAAAAGATTGTAAAAAAACATACCTGAAATACCTAGTAAAGAATATTTTAGTGACAACTATCATATTTTTTGGAGAAAAAAAATCATAGTTTAGGTTAATTACTTTTCTTCTATGTTGCCCGGTGCACAGTTCTATATATGATATTCTATGCACAATTTTGTGATGACCAATGATGCATTAATTTTCCATCAAGTGAAATACTTTTGCTGAGTGAGGTAAATGTAGGGTAAACACACCATATTCCAACACTGTGGGTAATTTGGACACTCCTCAACTTGTTCCTTTATATTAAGCTTGGTCTTAGTTCCACACATGCGTAGATGGTTAAAATAGTGACGTCATACTATTGCACGCCAGATTTCCGCAAAACACTAGGTCTAGCAGGAAAATGTTAAGATCTGCAGAGCAAAAGTCCAAGTCAACTAGTGAGAACATTGAAAACACGTATGAAAGTTGATAGTTGACATTGCTTTATTAAATAGTGATAAACTGTTTGTGTAGAAAGAATATCATGGTTTGAGACTTTTAAACAAGTCTGTGAATATATTAGGAATCCTTCAAGTATGGTATACCTGTATTTGCTGATTTTAAGTGGTAAATAAATTAATAGACGATTGATTTAAGAGATGGCTTTAGACACATAAAAACTAATTCTGACAGGGTGTTGGAATTTTGACACAGCAGTGACACAGGGTGTTGTATTCTGACACAGCTCACACAGGGTGTCGGAATTCCAACACAGGGTGTCTGAATTAGGAATTACGATTTTGAAGCGCTGTTGGAATTAGTCTCACAATATGCCGCATTTAGTCACACAGTGTTGGAATTCAGTGATTTTGTAGATTTTAATCATAAAAGTCTCATCTGAAAGCTGACACTCTGACCTATCCAACTTTGACCACTTTTTGTTTTTTTAACAAAAACCCCCAAAACTCAAACGATTTGACATAGAAATATTTTGTCAATGGCCATCAAAGGCCTAATACTGAGGCTACGTAACACAATAGAAAGATTTAAAAAGTTTGCATATCTAATAGGTTAAAAAATTAATAATGTGTATCAAAACTATGAGAGGCAGGAGCCAGCAATTTATGGTGAGTAAAGCTAGAGTATAGACCTGTATTTTGCACGTTTCAATTCAAGTTTAACTTATCTATTAAAAAAATGGCATCATTTTGAAAAAAAGTGGTCAAAGTTACCCCATTTTACAGTATCCGAGATATTTTTTACCCCAGACACTCCCCCTTAAATAAATATGGCAACATTTTGTGATGTTTCATCATTGCTGGCAAGTAGTGTGGTGTTTTGAGAGTGATGTAAACCTATCAGAACTCAAGTTGCACATACGGTGAACTATTTATAGCCATTTATTTCTTGCTATGTCCTAAAGGTGTCGGAAAATGGTGTGTTTACCCTACTCTTAATTAGTTGTTTTTTCCAATTTTTAGTTGTTAATTGATTTTTTTAACTGGAGCTTTTGCTATTTGAGGTTCTACTGTAAATGCGTTTTTAGGCCAGGCATGTGCCTTATTACCCCCTCTTGCAGAAATGGCTGCCATTTTTGAGGGGGATGAGATACACAAACTCCATCTGTTACGTTTTTAAGCCAACACCAGAGTACATAGTGGCAAACCAGAGATTTATAGAATCAGTTCATATTTAATTTCCTCATTTAGGGCAACCACACCATATTCCAACAGTTTCAGGATGTAGCAAGAAATGAATGGCTATAAAAAAATCCCCGTATGCACAACTCGAGTTCTGATTGCTTTACTCACATTCATTCTCTCAAAACACCACACTACGCGCCAGCAATGATGAAATGTCACAAACTGTTGCCATATTTATTAAAAAGCCTTCAGATTTCAAATCTACAAAATTGCTGAATTCCTATGCTGTGTGTGACAAAATTTGGCATATTGTGAGACTAATTCTGACAATGCTTCAGAACCGTAATTTGTAATTCCGACGTCCTGTGTAAGCTGTATTGGAATACAACACAGCTCAGAACGAGCTGTGTGTCTAATTCTGAGCTGTATCGAAATTAGTTTTTGTGTCTAAATTCTGAAACCATCTCTTAAGGGGAGTGTCTGGTCAAAATTTTTTAATTTTGGCTTTTCCAGTTTTTAATCTCGTCTTAAAGCAGACATTCTGCTCTATTCAACGGTACCAAAATCATTTCTGTAAGTTGATTTATGATTTTTATTTTATTTATTTTTATTTTATTTATTTTATCATTTCTTATTTTATTTTCACATTTAGGATAGTAGAAAATTCCCGGTAGCATACTTAAATAGCTAGTCCACATACAATGTGCTTCAGTTACCCGCCTGCGGGAGGGTTTGCATGTCGTCGTTCACACCATCCTTGACAGGAATTGAGCTCCAATATTGCCTAGTCTTGCATTCTTGCCACCTTGAACGCTTATTTCGAGGCGCCCGGGACTTTGTCAGGCTCTACTGAACAATTAACTTATTGTTACTGCAAACCTATCTCCTCCTACAGTTTTGAAGCTACAGCAATGAGACATATACCATTCGATTCGCAATTGAATTATCTAGAGATTCATTGTAGCTTTTTTCCAATTTCGTTATAGTTTTGAAAATATTTTGAAAAAAGGGGGCAGAAAAAGGGGGAAATGGATAAATTTTTGAAAATTTTGCGAAAAATACTCCCCCATCCACAAAAATTTGAAATTTGAAAAAAGCTACAACGAATCGATAGATATGGTCCATACACATTGAATGATATGCGTCTCAATGTTGTAGCTTCGAAATCCTAGGAGGAGATACCGTAAAATGGGGTAACTTAGACCACTTTTTTTCTTATAAATGATGCCATTGTTTTACTAGCTAAATTAAACTTGAATTGAAACATGCAAAATACAGGTCTATACTCTAGCTTCACTCACCATAAATTGCTGGCTCCTGCCTCTCATAGTCTTTATGTAATTTCAAAA